AACGAGACGAGATTGTCTGGATCTGCCCGATCGTCCATCAGGCAGTTTGTATCGACACGGCTTGCTCGCGCCTCTGCCGACGCAGCCATCGCTAGAGCGACCAGGCTCAATGCACCTTGGTGCAGCGTCGGCTGTCCGTAAACCCGTAGGATCTTCTCGGGCAATGTATGTGTGATGGTGGTACATACATGTAAAAGGTAATACATGTAGATACATGAGCGGTCGCATGAACTTTGGTGCCAAATGACTCACACTGTCAGTGCAATCAAAAGTGCAACCTGCGATCCGCGACGCAAGATCGCCGTCCCAATTCGGACATCGCCGCATCCAAATCCTAATATAACTAGATTCACGCCACCTTCCTGCCTTGATCTCGGGCGCTCGATACCGACCATCTATCTATCTGGATGCGAGAATTGCCATGTCGTACATTCCGCACACGCAGCTCCTTGCCCGCCTCATCTCGGCCTTTGACGACGCCAAGGCCACCGGCGCCGGCGGCCCGCCACGCGTCGTCAACCTCACGGGCAAGAAGACCATTCCGCGGTCTCTTTTGTGCGACATCTTCGAGGCTCCCGTCAAGCCGACGCTGCAGAACTGCGAGATCCATGTGATCGTTCTGCAACGTTGGCTTGACGGGAGCCTCGAAGATGTCGCACAAAAGAGACCGCGGAATGGTCTTCTTGCCCGTGAGGTTGACGACGCGTGGCGGGCCGCCGGCGCCGGTGGCCTTGGCGTCGTCAAAGGCCGAGATAAGTCGGGCAAGGAGCTGCGTGTGCGGAATGTACGGCATGGCAATTCTCGCAATAATTGTATTATGAGGCTGGTCGGGAAAATTTCGCGGCTGTCCAGCTCCCACTCGCCCCGAGAATAATCGATGGCTATTGGCTTATTTTATCTGGTGTCCGGATATGCATTCGGTGAAATACTGTGAGAATACATACTGCCAGGATGGGTATGCGGTTTGAGAGGCGACCTGTGTGGAGGCCAGAGCGAAAAAAGCATGGAGAAGAAAGCGCCGTCCGACTTCCTCAAGAGCGTCCTTGGCCGCCCCGTCGACGTCAAGCTCAACAACGGCGTCGAGTACAAGGGTATCTTGGCCTGCCTCGATGGCTTCATGAACATCGCCATGGAGCAGACCCAGGAGTACGTCAACGGCCAGCTCAAGGCGCAGTACGGCGACTGCTTCATCCGCGGCAACAACGGTACGTCGCTCGCCATTCGCACGCATATTGGCTCATGGCCGCTCTGCGCTAGTCTTGTACATCTCGGCGTCCAAGTAGACTCTATGAAACCTGCGCTGGTCAGAGCGACGCGGTCAAATCTCTCTATTTTAGCAATCCCACACCACCTCTCTCGACCCGTGGTCCTTCCTCTGGCCTTCTTTCGCTCAGCGCTGCTCAAGAAGCAACGCGTTGATGGCGTCTTGGCCGTCCAAAGTGGCCACGACGTTAGCCCAACACGGACGAGATCAGAAGCTCCTAACGTTAGCAAATCCGTGCCTCCAGGCTACATCGCATGCTACTAAGACGTCGCTCGTCTCGGAGCTCTTGGATGCGTTTTCCGTGTCTCTGTGGTCGCCACGCGGGGCCAAAGGAGACTGCGTCATCGCCCAAGCAGCGCCATCTTCACGGCCACGGGCTACGTGCTTCTAGCATGCACCGCGATGGCCTGTACGGCAATGCGCCAGCGCCTCTCAGCTACATCCTTTAGCACGGTGGCAAGTGCCATAAGCACCGCGAGGGCGCGGGCGTCCTTGGAGTGGGACTGCACATCGCCATCGAAGATCGCGGCCGCGTCGCGGCTGCCGTTTGCCGTCGAGATACCGGATACACCTGTCACAATCAATCTTAATTCCGGTTACCCTCCAGAGTTCCGGATATCGGCCATCAAGAACCTGCAACATGTTATGCGAAGGTTTTCCCAGAAACCAAGTCGCGATGCTCGGGCGACAATCGACGCCGGGCGCCAAGACGGTCCAGGGCCGCTTCAACCTGCTCCTGCTCGAGGACGGCGAGTACTTCCTCGACGTACGTCCGTGGCCTTGCGCATGTACCTCGAATCGACGGCGAACACTAGGACTTCAGCGTCTTCCGATACCCGGATCCGGTCTTCACGTGCCTCACCTTCCACCACTGCAAGCAGCGGTGCGCCGCCCACGCGCCTCATCCCATGTCTCTCATTGCAATCTTCTGTAGCAAGGTGCAAGGCCGCTTGAAGCTCTGCACGCGCAGCCTCATGTTTGAGCCGCAAGACCCGATCTTGCCGATCCTCAAGTTTCCCTTCCGTGACATGGCGCTTCCGCCGAGCGGCGAGATCTTTGAGGACGAGACCAAGCAGATCTACCTTTCGTTCGAGTGCGGGCTTGCGGTCGAGATGAAGGAGCGCGGGCTCGACCACCCGTACGTCGCGCGCGTGCTCGCCGACTCGAGCGTCATGAGCTCCAAGTTCATCTTTTCGTTCGCGCACTCCAAGGTCCACGACGTGGTCGACGCGATCGCACCGCTCTACGCCTTGGCGCACACCAAGAACATTCTCAACAAGATCGACGAAGAGACGCGTCTCGCGCCGATCCTGGACCCACGCCACACGGACGTCTTTGACCCGAGGTACGACCTCCTAACCTCGCGAAGAGCAATGCGCATCTCGCACTAGCTTGCTCGCCGACTTTCGCGAGCGTCCGCTGCTCAAACGCGGCAAGGTCGTCAACCGCATCGTACCGCTGCTCAAGTACCCGGGCACGCTCATGCTCACGAACCTCCGGTGCGTGGACTTTGTGAATATACGATTCTCATCGCTACGTAGTGTTTACTTTCAGCCGGCGCAGGTCAACAACGTCGGGGACCCCGTCCTCAACTTTGCGTACACCAAAGTGACGGCGTTGCACAAGCGGCGACACATGCTCAAGCAGTGCGGTCTCGAAGTGCGGCTCGACGACGGCGCGAGCCACCTCTACTCGTTCGAGACGATGGTCGACCGCGACGAGATCTACGACCTCCTCAAGCCCAACGTCGGTCACATTGGCGACGCGGCCAAGATCCCAGAGATGCTCGCCAAGTGGCAAGCCGGTGGCGTCTCAAATTTCGAGTACCTCTCGTTTCTCAACGACCAAGCGGGGCGGACCGTCAACGACCTCACGCAAGTACGTACTACCTCTCGATCTTTGTATCAACATATCAATTTAGTACCCTGTCTTTCCGTGGGTCGTCGCCGACTACACGAGCCGCGAGCTCGACTTGACCAAATCGAGCACGTTCCGCGATCTCTCCAAGCCCGTGGGCGCGCTCAACCCCGACCGATTGTCGTACTTTCAGCAGCGGTTTGAAGCGATGCCCTCGGGCATGGAAGCCGAGGGCCTCCCACCGCCGTTCCTCTATGGCACCCACTACTCGACGCCCGGCTACGTACTCTTCTACCTCGTGCGCATGGCCCCCGAGTACATGTTGTGTCTCCAAAATGGCAAATTTGACGCTGCGGACCGGCTCTTCAAGAGGTAATCACCTCGTCTTCGATCGTATGTGGGCCAACACGCTGTGTATAGCATCCACGGCACGTGGCAAAGCTGCTTGAGCAACCACGCCGACTTGAAGGAGCTCATCCCGGCCTTCTACGACGTTGACGCGGCCCCCGAGTGGCTCTCGAACGTCAAGAACCTCGATCTGGGCACGACGCAGCAACTGGAGCGCGTCGGCGACGTCGAGCTGCCGCCGTGGGCGCACTCCCCGCGCGAATTTGTGGCCAAGCTCCGCGAGGCGCTCGAGAGCGAGCATGTCTCGGCCCATCTGCACGAATGGATCGACCTCATCTTTGGGTGCAAGCAGCAAGGCGACGCAGCCATAGCGGCCAACAACCGTACGCCCAATGTGTGGATTCGTCTCATAGTTTGGTAGTCTTCTACTATCTGTCGTACGAGGGTGCGGTCAACCTCGAGACGATCACCGACCCGATTGAAAAGTGCTCGTTCGAAGCGCAGATCCAAGAGTTTGGACAAACGCCCAAGCTCCTCTTTCTCTCGCCGCACCCGAGCCGCGCGGACGTGGCCGCCGCGGCCAGCCTCGAGCTCGCACCGTCCGAGCCGGTCGTGCACGTTGCACCGGTGGTTCCGTCGGCACCGGCACCGCCCGCACCATCGCCTGTTCCGTCGCCCGACAAGGAGGCATCGACGCCAACATCGGCGCGCCGAAGCGTCTTTGGCTTTGCGCGACCGACGCTGAGCCTCAACGGTATCAAAGCGAGCTTGCGTCGCCGCCTCGAGCGCAAAAACTGGGGCTGGACCTTTGACAGCCAGAGCCCCGCGAGCGGCAGCATGTGGGAAGAGTCGCTGCCGCACTACTTTCATTCGCAGTACTACGATCTGATATAGCTGGATCCATTCATATATCTAATGTATGTGATGTAGAGCGCTCACGGCGTGCGTGCTCTCCAAGGATGGCAAGTACGCCTTCTCCACCGCGCATGACGGCACGTTCAAGCTCTCGGCCACGTCGGACGGCTCGGTGCGTCGCAGCTACACGTGCGGCGGTACAATCACCATGATCGATGTGACGCGACGGTGTCATCCGATTTGGTGCTAGGCGCGGCGGTCGCGTGCGACGTGTCACCGGACGAGAAATTTGTGTTCTTTGCGGCGCTGGACGCGTGCGTGAACATGGTCGCGCTCGAGACCGGCCGCGTTGGGAAGCTGCCTACCGGTGCCGCGGTCGTCGGGCTCGCGGTCCTTGATGACGCGCGCTTTGTCACGGCCGACGTGGCCGGTGCCGTCAAGGTATCATTCGATTGACGTCATATATCTTGCGTTCCTACTCCACCGACGATGGTAGCTCTGGCAGTATGGGCCGACGGGCATGCTCTCGACGCCCGTGGCCGTCATGGACGACGCCGGCGCGCCGATCACGTGCTTGGACGTCAACTCGGACGGCTCTGTGGCTGTCGTGGGCACCGCGACCGGTACGACGTCCGCAACGAGGTGGTGTTGGCATGCACACTATGGTAGGTGTCGTGTGCCTCTTGGACTTGCGCTCGATGACGAGCGTCGCCAGCGTCCCAACGGGCGCCGAGCGCATTGTAGCCGTGAGCTTTGGCATGGCCGGCACGCACTTTGTGTGCGCGACGGACGAGAGCGAGCTGCTCGTTGTCTCGATTGACGGCGTCGAGCAGGCGCGGCTGCGGCTGCCCGACGACGCCAACATCCAGTACACTCGATTTTTCTCGCGGAAAAGGGCTAAGAAGTGGTAGGTGCATGGTCTCGGACGGGACGTACGCGATCACAGGCGCGTCAAACGGTGGCATCTACATTTGGCAGCTCCAGACCGCGAGCATGGAGCTCGAAAAAAAGTGCATCGTGTCGATCGGCCACGGCAAGAAGCGACCGGTGACCACGATCACCGTCAGCTCCAACGGCCAAACCATCGTCGCTGGCGCCCAAGACGGCTCGATGCGTCTCTGGTCCATGAAGAAGAAGGCGACGCGCGGCCGTCTCGGGTACTTTTCCTAGCTTTCAAACCACGTGATCCTCGAGCTGCCATCGCAAGCCGCGGACGGGTAGTATAAAACCCAAGGTCCACGAGTCTTTCAACGCGTTTATCGAATGCGTATTTGTCATTTCGCGTCTCAGTAGCACACCAGCAGCTCGAGGTCACTAGGCCGTGAGGCCACTTGGTAGTGCAGTGGTGCCACGTACACCGTCGTAGCAGGGTCGTCACAAAGCGGAAGCGGCGCGTCGAAACGTTCAACGCGTTAAAAAGGCGTTTAAACACGGACAGAAGGTGTTTAAACACGGACAGAAGGTGTTTAAACACTTGGGCGGTTGGGATCTCGGTTTCTCGGAGGTTATTTGGCGATTGAACGATGGCGCAGCAGGGGGCGACGCTGCAAAACTACAACAACGAGCTCGTCAAGTGCATCGAGGACCTCCGCGAGAAGCGCGAGGAAGTCAACCGCGCGATCCTCAAGGAGGAGGAGGAGAAGGCCAAGATCCAGAAGGTCCATCGTCCTGCGTCGTATCTGGAGCGTCATGCGACCTAGGATCTCACGGTGCTCACGGACCGTCTGAGCAAGATCAACGAGACGCTCGCGCGCAAGACGCAGGCAAGGAACGAGTACGACCGGACGATCCAGGAGACGGAAGCGGCGTACATGAAGATCCTCGAGAGCTCGCAGACGCTCCTGCATGTGCTCAAGCGCGAGACGGTCCAGCTCACCAAGAAGAAGCAAACGTCGACGTAGGTCCTACACCAAGCCGAAAGAATGTCAACTTGCTCGATGTTACGTAGCGAATAATAAAATAAGATCTACTGGCGACGCCAGTGGGGTGGGCATGTTCTCATCGAAGCCACGGGTGCAGCATGGCTTCGTTCGCACTCATGCGCTTGTCCGGGTTCCGCACGAGGAGGCTCATGATGAGCTGCTTGGCGCCCGGCGACGTGGCGTCCCATACGTCGTCGCTGAACTGCACGACCACGTCGGTCGAGCCCTCGGCCGGGCCAAACATGGGCGCGTACCCGCTCAAGACGACGTACAAGACGACGCCGATGCTCCACATGTCGGCCTGCGTGCCGTAGCCCTTGCCGCCCATGACTTCCGGCGCCACGTAGTCGCGCGTGCCGCACTTGGTGTGGGCGCGGGCAAAGCGCTCACGGGGCCGAAAGCTGCTGCTGCTGTCGTCGTCTGTCGACGCAAAGATCGCGTGGTCGGGCACGACGGTCGCGGTGCGGGACGGGCCCTGCAGCCGCCGGGCAATGCCAAAGTCCGAGAGCTTGACGTGGCACACGTCGTCGTGGACGATGAGGATGTTTTCGGGCTTGATATCACGGTGCACAATGGCGTTTTCTAAAATATCAAGGTATCAGTTGATGCCGTATATCGTGTGTCGATGCCGTACTGTGCAGATACGCCGTCGTCTGGATGAGCTTGCGCAAGAGGACCTTGGCTTGGGCCTCGGGCAGCGGGCCGTGCTCGTCGATAAATTGAAACAATTCTTTTTCGCAAAACTCCATGACCAAGTAGAGCTGGTCCGGCGTCTCAAAGAGCTCGAGGAGCTTGACGATGCCCGGGTGGTGCAGCGACGACATGATCTCAATCTCGCGCGAGAGGAAGCGCGGCTCGTGCACTGCGAGCTTGTCAATGACCTTGACCGCGACTACACAACCTCCACTTAGTCATGACTGATGGGACTCGGACGTACGTTTGGTCGACGGGTCGTGCCGGGGAAAGCACTCGGAGACTGTCGAGAAGGACCCGTGCCCGAGCTGCTTCCCGAGGTTGTACTTGCCGAAGAAATCGGTTTGGACAAGGATCGACCCTTCCAGCAGCGATGCATATGAGAAGGGCGTGTACATGGCGATCGCATTCTCATCGAACGTGTCCATTGCGTCCGAGAGGTCCGATGGCCGGAGGTCCGACGACGCGCGCGCCGTCGACCGCATCGAGTCAAAGACGCCGTCGAGCGACGGCCGGTTGCTTGCACTCGACGGACGCGACTTGGTCGGCGTCGGAAAGCACGGGCGCCGGCACGGGCTCTCGAGCGACGGCCGCGACCGCGAGTGCCGCGGCAGGTCCATGCTCAGCAAGGACGGCGACGTGTGCGTGCTCATCGTTGGCGAGGACGTGACCGTGCTCAGCGACCCGCGGGAGCTCGAGTAGCGCGAGCTCGATCCACGCGGCTTGGCCAGCGGCAAAAACACGTTCGAGTCGGACGTCGTTGGTGTCGTCGGCGCCTCGCGGCCCACCGGTGACTGCGACGGCATCGCGTTCCGACGCGGGTGGAGACTCATAAATATGTCGGGCGTGTCGTCAACGTCAGACTCCATTGGCTCAAACTCGAGGTTGGCAAAGTTGCGCGAGAGCATTTCCACGGGCGTGTTGGTCTGGGACGACGAGGCGGAAGAGGACGACGGTCGGGCGATGCCTGCAATCGGCATGCCCTGCGAGTATGGCGAGGCCTTGGCGTGCTTGGCGCGCGACAAGCCTTCGTCGTCGTCGTCGTCCGAGATATCGTCCCGCATCTACATGGTCGATGAGATGCTGACCGGCCCACGCGAGGTATGGCGTACCCGCGACGTCAGTTCGGCGGGATCCGTCAGCATCATCAACAAGCGGCGGCGGTCTTCGGACGCGGTGCGCTCCTTGCGCTTAAGCGTACTTCGGTGGTCTTTCGAGGGCGTCTGGATCTGTTCCAGCTGTGGTCGGACCACGACCGCTGGCGTCACGCAGTTGGCCTGCTACAGCATCGCGCCATGAGCGTTCGTTCTCGTCGTGCGCAAAATGCAATACCTCGAGCGCCTGTTGCATTTCTGTACACGGGCGATACAAGACGTGCCCGAGGTCTTGGACAGCGCCAATGTCGGCGATGCGCTTGTAGCGCGTGCCCGCCGAGGTATCGCCGGGCGCCTTGGTGACCTTGGCGAGGATCTGGCCGCGCGCCACGTACTGCAGCAAGCTACATCCATCGTGTCCATGAGCACATCAGCATCGGTCATGGCATACGTGTTGCCGAGCGCGTGGGCATGGTAGTGACGGATGACGTCGGCGGCCGTCGCCGTCGGCAGCAGGCTCAGTAGCACCGGCGCCTTGCGCTTCATTGGGTTGCGCGCCGCTTCCTTGTCGATGGACATGAAGAGCTCGACATGGACGCTCTTCGTCATCGTCGCCGAAAAGAAGAAGATGGCAGTCCGCTGCGAGAGAGAATGCTGCTCTCGCTGCGTCGCGCCGGGTTACTCACTCCAAGCGGCGCACTGGAGCTTCAGGCGGGCACGACTTCTCTCCCAACATCGACCGCATTTTTATTCCGTATACCTTGTTTTTGTATGCCACGCCCGTCGTGTTGGCAATAAAATGCGCGTTGGCGGCTGGTTTGACGGATTTTATTGCAAGCTGGGCGACGGAAGAAGAACGAGCGTTTGGACCATTCGAATACGGGTTTCCGCAGATCCGGCTGGCACGTGCATGCAGCGCGTCGGCAGCTGCCGCGTTCGACGCCGTTCGATATATTCCTTCCTACCAGACACGAGCTTGGTTGATGCTGTCAGCAGCGTCGGCGTTGTCGTCTCGCGGGTGGTGGCGCTTTTCCGAGCCGCCAGGTGCCCGCGACTTGACTTGGCTGCGAGCGCGTGACGGCGCATTGTATCGAACTCGGCGTTTCTCAACAATTGACACGCCGCCGTGCGTCATGCGTCGTCGCCGTGGTAGAGAGAAAGGACGGGCGATTCCGCTGGACGGATGCAGCCGCCCGTGATGGTACACTGGTCGTTCGATCGTTCGATGCTTGGCGCGTCGACCGACCCGAGACCGACGGTAGCATCAAACGAACGTTGTGGACGATGTAACACGAACCTAAACTATATACAAATCTAATATATATTCGATCGTATAATCGTCCAGTCGAATCCAAAGAAATAACCCAGAACGACGCAACCTGTTGGCGTCGTCGATCACAAGCCGCCGAGCGGCCAAAGTGATTTCATGTGCACCGCAGCTCCCTGGGTATTACGACTTGGCATTACGCGATGATCGGTCCATGGCGCGAGGTGATCACCAACCACAAGTTGCAAAGACATGTGCTATTGGACCGCGAGTTCCGACCACGACCACCACGATTCCAAACATCCAAGTGCCTCTGTGTTCTTATTCAGATAGTAGCTGCCAATAATTCGACGCGCCGAGTAGCTAGCTATTCGGGACAAGCCACGGCTCAGCTTGCGGCTTGACTCAGCCATGGGTCAATAATAAAGACCCATGACTCAGCGTGCCGCTTCTCGACCATGGCCAACAGATGTAGTACGACGCCAGCGAAAAACAAGCGCATCGTGCCACGCCGTAGCCGCCCAGGAACGTTCGAATCTATTATAGCAAGGTCGGTAGCGCCATGGCAGCAGTGACCAGTGCAGCACCCAGGTCCCATTGTCGACGCAGCATTCGGATCTGGCATTTGCCCGCTGCTCTTTCCTTCAAGTCGCGCGCCCATTGCTTGAAGTGCCTGTACCGGTCGCGGCCACCGTCCGTGAAAGATACGCACTCTATTTAGGCCAATCGCAGTGCTGTATCGTGTCGACCAATCACATTGCGGAATGATTACAGCCAATCACAGCGGGGCCGCCGTACTTTCGCCAGCCCTCCGACCAGCATGCTTGTGCACCAGACGCTCCGGCGCACGCTCCTCTCTGTACGTAGCCTCGGTCGTAGAAACGTACCGGCATGATGGTGACGTCGCATGTAGGCGCCACGCCACCTCTCGACGAATGCCAAGATGCCACCGCCGCTCGGTGAGCGCAGCTCGTCCTCGAGCCTCGGCAGCATCGGGCTCATCGGCGGTCTCTTTATGAGCGGGTACTTTATGGGGACGTACATTGGCGTCTTGCCGTCGTACGAAGCGCTCAAGCAGCAGCTGGGCTTGGCCGAGCCCACGTCGGCCCCGTACACTGGCAAGGTACAGCGTTGCTTCCGCATTTGGCCACGATTTGTGATGCGCTGGTACTAGCTCGACGTCGAGTCCAAGGTCTTCTTTGACATTGGCATCAATGGCAAGCCATCGGGCACGATCGTGTTTGGCCTCTACGACAAGGTGCAGCCCAAGACGGTCGCCAACTTTGTGGCGCTCTGCACCGGCGACCGCTCTGTGAACGGCACGGCGCTGACGTACCGCAACAGCCGCTTCCACCGCATCATCCCCAACTTCATGTTGCTCTGCGTCTTTTTCGAGGTTGATGCTACTGGATACATAGGATTCAAGGCGGCGACTTCACCAACGGCAACGGCACGGGCGGCCTCTCGATCTACGGCGACCGCTTCGCGGACGAAGACCTCTCGGTGCCGCACGCGGGTGCCGGCACGCTCTCGATGGCCAACGCGGGGCCCAACACGAACGGGTCGCAGTTCTTCATTTGCACGGCGCCGACACCGTGGCTGGACGGGAAGCACACGGTCTTTGGGCGCGTACTCGAGGGCATGGACCTTGTCGAGAAGATCGAGGCGCTCGGCACGCGCGGTGGGCAGCCCAAGGCCGAGGTCCGCATCCTCAACTGCGGCCTCGTCGAGACGGCGCATGACCAAGCTGCTGCCACGACGACGCCGACCGTGCCCGAGGACGTGGCGATGACCGAGCGGCTCGAAGATCTGCGCGAGATCGAGGCCCAGCTCCGCGCCAACAAGGCGACGATCGACGAAAGCATGTACACAAACATGCTCCACGACATTACGGCCGAAAAGTTGCGTGTCAAGAAGGTGCTCAAGGAACTCAAGCAGCGCAAGTAAACGAGTTGGCTACAAACACACAAGACGATTTTGACCATTTTCAAACACCCTCTTGCCCGGTCGGCAAGGGTGCGTCGGTGTGCCCAGGACGGCGATGTACTGGTCGGGCACCGTGGGGTAGGGGAACGACGCCAGATCCGACGCTAAGCTTGTTCCACGAGCAATAGACAGTAGGGTAGAGGAGGTAGATGCTATATACGGAGTCGTCGAGATGGTTAATGTGGTCATGCGGGATAGGGCTAGTAAGGACTACACATCGACGAGCGGGTGCAATGGCTTGAGCGACGATCGATTGGTGTCGTCCATGCCCGGGCGCGCGGGCGACGTGGCGACCGACGCCGGGTTGTGGAGGTTGGTGAGGAGGAGGCTTCCGTTGCTGCCGCGGCGCGAGTAGAGGTCGTTGCCGTTGATGATGGCCGAGTACGTCTCGTCGGCATAGTTGCTCGTCGCAGGGGCGAGCGGCGCCGAGTCGGCGCGGGTCGCGGACCGCGCGAGGTTGCTCGACGACGGGTGGAACTGGTGCATCTCGGACGACCGGCGCTTGTTGGTTTGGTAGTTTTCGCGGTAAAACTCTTCGTCCTCTTCGACGTTCTCGTGGCGCTCGATGCGCTCGCGGTTGGAGCGCCAGAGGCAGCAGAGTGTGCAGAGCACGCCGAGGATAAGGACGCCAGAGCCAATGATGAGGCCAATCTGCCACGTTTGAAGCGCTAGAGCCAAGTTATACAAGGCCGGCCCAGTAAGATGTGGACGTACACGAGCCGTTCGAGTCGGGAGACGGCGAGCTGGAACCTGGAGGAGTCGTCGTGGGTGTAGTGGTAGGCGCCAAGGTGGGAGGAGCAGAGGTGGGAGTGGCAGAGGGAGAAGGAGTAGGTCCATCAGTCGACACGACGGGTGTAGTGGCTGGGGACGTTGTACCTGGGGACGTACTCGTAGTGGGGCTCGCCGTGGACGGCGTCGGCTTGGGCGACTCGGTGGTCGGCGACGGCGTGGGGGCCGGCGTCACGGTCGTTGGCGCCGGTGTTTTCGTGCTCGTCCTGCAGCCTAAAAGCGTATCTCGTTAGGAATGGGTCAGGTGGCCTGCGTGCGAGTTACGGCAGTCGGTGAGCCCCGATTCGCAGCCCCCGGATGCTTGCGGCTCCAAGGCCAATACACCAAGCACGTTGCCGGGTGTGTCGGTTGTGAACTTGAAGCAGTAGACATTCGGGTTGTTTTGCTTGCAGTCGCAGCCAGAGGCGCTGGCCTGGCACATGCAGAGCTTGGCCTTGCCGTCAGTGGTGAACCCGGCCCAGGACGACTCGCTGTACGTGCAGATGGACGGGCACGTGCTGTCTATCGTCATCATGCGCACTCAGCCCCCGTCGCCATCGATGGAGATGCATGTACCAGCGGCACTCAGCGGGGCTGCATACGCAAGGACGAGGCTCCATGCGAGAAGCAGTATCGGCGGTGCCATGAGGCTACTGCTCGGACTGGCGCAAAGCTGTGTAACAAGCTGCTGGCGACCGATGTTCGAATCGGCGTCGTCGCATTTTATATTAAAATAGCGCCCGCTCGGCCACGCATATACAAACTTGAAGTGCAAATCTCCACGCACCCAACTTCTGGGGCAAGGCCGTGACCAACGGTGCAAATTTTCACCCGCGCCTCGGCGCTGCTGGCGACTTGGTCGAGACGACTGGAACTCTCATTATAACACGGCCGCTTCAGCATGTCCAGGTAGAGCGAGAGCCTCTGAAAGGCGTGAGAAGAGCGACCGCCAGAGAAACGCATGCCAGCGCAGAGGCGCCGCTCAGGCTACTGCGTTGGAATACTACCGGCGTTGGCTGGAATTGCCACAAGTGAGCTGCGTGCACCGCGACCGCCCACATTCCTACTTGATTCCAGTGCCTGTAGACGAATACCGAAGTTCGAAGCCCAGGATCTTGTTGCTCGGTTCTCGGTGGAGGAAGGGGCACGACAAACGAGGCGAGACGAGTGCGGCAAGCTCAAGGCACGCAATCGCAAGGGTTTGCATTTCGGTCGGAATCCAGTACAGTGTACGAAGGGAGGCGATGGGCGAGGCGACGAGGCTCGGCTTCTATTTGCGGCGGTCACATCGAAGTTCGAAGTGGCACGAACATGATAGGGCTCGCGAAGCGACGTGTGACACGCCCAGATGGTGTACTCGTCTACGGGAATTCCATATCAACTGTCCGAAGGGGCGCGATGCTCGCGGCGCCACGAAGAGCGCGCACGCCATTCGAGCTCGAGGCGCTGCACCCCGCGTGTGGACCGGTTCGCGGCGGTACCGAGCTCGTCATTTCAGGCGCGCATTTCAACGGCACCTTTGACATCCCACGCCGCGTCTCGGATGTCCACCTGCGCTCGCCGCTGCACGAGACCGACGCCAAAGTGCGCTTCCAGCTCGGCGATAAGATCTTGACCCAAGTCAAAGCCAAGCTTCTCTCATCCAAGAAGCTACTGTGCACGACACCACGATTCAACGAGCCAGTCCGCAGCACCAACCATGCAAACTGGTAACAGCACCATGATGATCCTCATGGCTTTTTGCCAGCGTACGACGATCGTAGGGGAAGTGTGACGATCTGTGTGAGCCTTGAAGACAGCACGTTTGTCCCGTGCCGTCAGCGCTACCAATATTACCTACCTACCTATATCTGTGACCTCGATCCACCGACAATCCCAGAGCCAGATCGTGTCAGGCTCACACTGCGTGCGCACCTCAGCGTCGGGGAGACGCCCCAGACACCAATGACGGACGTCGAGACCTTGCTGCAGCGGCGCCTCGCGTCGCTGCTGTCACCGTCCGTACAGATTCAACGGCGCGTCGACCAACACACATGGCGCGTCATGGGCAGCGTTGACACCACGGATATGATGCAACTCGCCGTCGAGTTCCCGGAAGACGCTGGTGTCGGGCAATATACGATAGCGTTTGCTTGGAACGGCGTCGACTTTGACGTGCCATCGCCGGTGCCATCGAGCTCCGAGTGGGCCGACTGGGGCCTGCACAACCAGTTTGAGATTTTTCGGCCGCCGTCGTTGCGCAGTGTGCGGCCGCACGCATGCTTCTACCTCGAAGGCCAAACACTTCACCTCGACTTTGACGCGTGGCAAGCGCCAGGCGTTCGCCCAGCCTCCCACGCAATCGTTCGGTTTGAGCGCGAGTGCAAGACGTCGAGTCACTGCGAGGACTACAAGGTGTCGTTGGATGAGACGACGACCGTGTCCGATTCCTCACCGACTAGGTACTCGTGCCCATGGCCGATGGCGAATTGAGGTCCATAGCGGTCACGACGCCTTGGTTCCACGAAGCTGGCTTGTACGACATTGCTGTTTCCGTCAATGGCGGAGTGCACTTTACGCGCTGTCCGATCCAGCGACTGCTCGTGTACCATAAGCCGCTCTGCGAGTTTGTTTCGCCCGAGTATGGCATCTCGCGTGGCAACACGGAGCTGAGTCTTCGCATCGCGGTGCGTGCGACGTCACTTCTAGTCCTACTCAGATCCTATCCATCTAGTTTGCCCACCCACGCGTCCATGAAGACCACCCGCTGGTGCCGCTCGAAGATGCCAATGTTGAAGCCTGCGCGCCGACGCTATATGTGCGCTTCACCCTCGATGTCTCGGGCGCGGTCTTGGCGACCGTGCCGGCCACGCTCAGCAGCTGCCACCGATTCGTGCAGTGCCGAAGCCCGAAAAACACAGACATCGAGTCCTTCCAGTAAGCACGTTTCTGCAACGGTCTATAGACCCAACGTGGCTAGGTATTCGCAAGTTGAAGCCGTGGCCTTGTCGCTGAGTTTCGACGATGTGCACTACTTTGCTCTCGCACCAAAAAAGCCGTTCCGGTACTATGCACCGCCGCGGTTGCGGGCCTTCTCGACGACGCATGGTGTACCCACGTGTTGCATCTCAGAGGTAACGCGTGAAACGATAGGGCCCTACTCGGGGGGCACGCCGCTCATTATCGACTTGTGGCATCCGCTGCCCGACTGCATTTCGTCTCGGGTTCGATTTCGGTGCCTGAAGACGCTGGTCGTGCGGGACGCCGCCGCGAGCACGCACAAAGCGCAGCCATCCAGTCTTGTGTGCGTCGTGCCGCCGTGGCCGCGGTCCGACGACGGCGATACGAATGATGTGGGTGATGGCGAACCGTACAAGCTCGTGCTTGTTGAAGTACGTGGATAATGCCATAGACGCGTAGACCAATAAGTGTAGGTGACACTGAACGGCGTCGACTTCCACACGGATACCATGCAGCTCGTCGCCAACCCGAACGCGTTCTTTCGAGGGCTCAGCTCGTGCTTTCTGTACTACCGCCCGCCGCGCATCTTCTTCGTCTCGCCAGCGTATGTGCCGACAACGGGGACCATTCCTGTCGTTGTGCACGGCGACGACTTGAACGATTATGGCGGCACCATCCAAGTCGCCTTCTCCAACGGCGCGTCGACGCGCTACGTACCGGGGCGCACGGATGGCCCGGGGGTTGTCTGCACTGCGCCGCCGTTCGCTGCTGGTCAAACCAAAAACGCGAGTGATGGGCCCAAGTAGTGACGACTGCGTAGGTGTCTGCAATGTGGCCGTGGCACTGAATGGCCAGCAGTTTACGGGCGACTGGAACGGCCGAGGCGACTGCACGACGACGTCCGCATCTAGCGTGAGACAGACTTGCTCATGTGGTGCTGTAGAGATCTCGATTCGCAAGTGCGGTTTTTTGACGTGCCAATGTTTTCGGCCCTGGCCCCTGCAAGAGGGCCGCTCAAGGGGGGTACCCTGATGCAGATCTTCGGCACGGGCTTCGTCGAAACAGGCGCGCTCGAAGTGCGCTTCTCTGCATCCGACATTGAGTATGAAGAAATCGTTCCAGGTCTTGTGACCGAGTAGGCCCCAACTTTGGAGAGGACCCCATCCCTAACGCATGCTGCCTAGCGGAGTGCTTCGGTGTACGACGCCCCGCTGCCCCATCGAGTACACTGTCGATATTGCGTGGTCCTTCTCCGACCGCGTCTTCCTTGAGCCTGACCAAAAACATCGGCGGGCGACATTCACCTACGCGGCCAAATAGCTTGGCTCATACTGCGACACTATGGTTCTTGTGTTCACAAGTGATCTAGTCGAATAGCATGCATGGACGTTGTCTACCAATTCCAGCAGCGAGTGTTGTCAAAAGATGGTATTTTCACCCCATGAAACCACCTTTCTTGTCACAACCAACGGCGTGGATTCAGCCGACGAGTCGGCCGTATCTTGGCAAGGGGCGCATGCAGGCGCCGGCGAAGCGGGTCTCTGTTGTGCATGCAGAGAAGACGGCCATCGTCAGCTTTGCCCAGCGAGATGGCAACGAGCCGCGCAACTCGTGGCTCGACAGCATGTTCATCGTCGTCGCCAATGTCGTCGGCGTCGGTGTGCTCGGCCTCGCGCACGCGTTTGCCATGCTCGGCTGGCTGTACATCGCGCTCCTCCGTTCTGCGGTTCTGAATGCGCCTGATTAGATGGGGCATTCTTGCTCTCGCCATCACGCTCGGCGGTTCGCTCTACAGCGGCCTTCTCATGACGCGCATGAAGGGCCGCGTCCCGACCGCCTTGGTCTACGCCGACTTGGGCCACGCCGGTGCGACGGCCTTGCCACGATCTTCGCATGCAACTGCGCGTCGTTGTAGCGTACGGGAACCTCGGGCACGCGTTCATCACGCTCTTTGGGTACACGTACATGACGGGCATCTGTGTACGCGATGACCTCTTGGCCGTTGCTCATGACGCCAGTAGCTCTCGTACCAGCTCACGGCGTCGCTCTTTTTAAAAGAGCTGACGAACGGCGTGTGCTTTGTGTCGTGCGCCACCATGGTCGCCGCCTTTGTCTTGCCGCTCGCGCAGTACCGCAACTTCACCGAAATGACGTCCATGGCCGTCGTCGGCGCCGTCTCGATCGTCGTGCCCGTCCTTCTCATTATCGGTATGTCGCTGCCTGCAGGATCGAATCCTGGACCTCGTTGTAGTGGAAGTGGCGTGGCATGGGCGGTTCCAGGCGGTCGAAACCGAGTGGGTGCCGTCCACGACGGACTTTCAAGCGGCGACGGTCGCCTGCATGGACGTCATCTTTGCCATGTACTAGCTTCAGAAACGCGAGCAACGGTCATTCGTATTGTGCGATTGTAGGGCAGGCCACGTCTTTTTCGTTGAAATCATGTCCGAGATGACGGACCCGTCGTCGTTTCGCCACTCGCTCTACTGCGCCACGTCCTTCTTGAGCTGGGTTTACTTTACGATTGCGATCGTGGGCTACTACTGCGTTGGCACGTCCGTGCTCAACCCCATCACGCAAAACCTCGCCAGCGTCCTTGTCCGGCGGTACACAACCCATCTTGTTCCATTTCACTCACTAGCACTTGGGGTTAGGTGGTGCAGTGCGTTTGTGTTGAGCCACATCATTGTCGCGTACGTCATGGCCGTCATGGTTCTGGCCCGCAATATGGAGTCCGTGCTCTGCCTCGCGCCGCACGAAGACAGCGCGCATGCAACGTTGAGTCAGCGCCTCTCCTGGCTTGCATTGACGTCCAGCATCGTCTGCCTCGGCTTTCTCGTGTCAAATGTCCTCCCGTTCGTCAACGACCTCCTCGGCTTTGTTGGCGCCATGAGCGGCGTCACGACCACCTTCGTGTTCCCGTTCCTTCTCGCGCCCGTGCTTTTGTACGACGAGCTCTCGAAACGCCATCGCATCGCGCTCTACGCGGTCGCGCTCGGTAGCTCCGCCATTGCCGTCCTCGGGGTTGTCTGTGCGGTCCAGCGCATGTCCAACTCGTACGAGACCCGCCGTCCGTTCTCGTGCTAGCGCATGGCATTGCCCTTCAATAGATATAGCACGTCGTAGCTCGACTCTCTCGATGGCGGAAGCCGCCTCGTAGCTAGCCCGTACTAGGAAGAGCGTACAAAGGACAAACCTGGAGCTTCTTGGAGCGAGCTGGCGCCAGACAATCGAATGGCCGTAAGAACGAGTGACGCAACGACGCTGCGACAGTGCCAGTGACTCTTTGGTATAGTTTAGCCAGCAGCCTGTTGCGGGACAGTGCGGTGCGGCATGCAGAGCATAGGGACCTCTTGTATAGCGCGACGCGTGTCCTATGCAGCGATGCCAACTGCAGCGAACGACGGCCCACGCGCTTGCGACCCGCTACAGCCTTCAAGCCTCTAAGATCGTCGCTCGCGCGACGGCAACGTCCGACAGGCAACGAGACGCCCACGATATCTCGTGCGCACAAAAGGCTAGCTACATGCAGGTCCGAAGCCAAGCATAGCAGCAGACGAATGCATTCAAGGTGTGTCAATGGCGGTCACCGGCGGTTGATGCCGAGACGGGCTTCACGCTCGGCCTTGGCGCGCGCTACGTAGTGCTCTTCCGCCGAAGTTCCGGGCGGAGGCGAGCGCGCGGCCTCGGCTCGGCGGGCGCGGGCTTCGAGCAGCTTGTCGCGGTACGCTTCGTACTCGTCGGCCAAACCGTCCTTGACGTCGAGGCGCGTCGGCTCGCGGCGCAGCATTTTCTGTTATCCGGATGCGGTGCGTCATCCGGATAATGTGGATTTCGCCAGTCGCGCAAACACGCAGACGTTGGGATGCGTGGGCCGTCGAGCGCGCATGGATCTATGTGGTTGCAGGTAGAGACACGTCGGCAAGGGTAGAGCACCGCGGATCGACCGCATGAGCTGTCTGCTGTGGGACCGTGCGTTGGGCGCGCCGACGTCATAGCCTTCTCGCTGGCTTCCTGACGCGTTTCATTGGTTGAAAAGCGCACGCTTCAACGATTGGGACACGCTCTATACGACGTGTGATTGGGTGAAATCCAACGAATCACGAGGCGACGAAAACACTTTTTAAACGCAAGTGGCTTGGGATTTGTATGTACCATACAAACGACAAGTGTAATTTGAACCGGGAAAGGAACGCGGCTGAATATAAATACTTGGACACCCAAAGAGCGTCGCAGGAGCAACCAGAAGGGACGACATTAGCAGATTGGTTCAACATCATCATGCAAATGGAGGAGCGGAAGGCCGCGACCGACGCGCCGTCGCCGGCTCATGCGAGCAGCAGCGGCAGCGGCAACTACTACCAAGGCTTGCACCCGTACCAGCAAGCGCAGCTCATGCGGCGACAGCCCTCGTGCCCGATCTGCGGGTCGCAGTCGCTGCCGCCCAACATGGTCCTCGAGCCGTGCCAGCACCAGTTCCACTTCCACTGCGTCGAGGGCTACATCCAGAACGAAAAGACGTGTCCTGTCTGCCGAACGCCTATCCAGCGCCACCAAGGGATCAACCGATCCTTCCCGACGATGGCCACGCAGGGCGGCCATCCGCACGACTACCCGGTGCCACTCCACAACCAAGGCCAGAGCGCGATGCCATTGGGTCGCCAGTCGTACGCGCCGCCACAGATGCATGCGATGCCTCCGACCAACGGCAGTAGCTACAACGGCCAGGCGCCGATTGGCCACTTCCCGAGCGCCAGTGTATACGAGCTGCCGCCCGAAGTCTTCTTGGACACATCGTACGAGCAGCAAGGATCGAATGCGCCCGGAAAGATGCGCAAGGGCAAGTGGACAGCCGAAGAAGCGCTGTACTGCGACCGCCTCATTGAAGAGTTCAAGCTCGGGAACTTGCCCCTGGCCGAGGGCACGACGCTGCGCACGTTCCTCTCCAAGCTCCTCAACTGCGACCCGATGCGGATATCGAAGAAGTACACGGGTAACCAGTGCATAGGCAAGGTACACCATCTTCGTCGTATCTGTCGCAGTGTCTTCATAATTGCGTAGATCATCTTTCGCAAAAAAGCCAAAGAGCCCTCCAAAGACGAAGTCGAGACGACGCGCAAGCAGCTCGCCGAGCTCGAGCGCGTGTACCTCGAGCGTGAACGTATGAACCAGCAGCGCCGCGAGAAGAGGCTTGAGACCGAGCTCACGCGGGACCGGGGCCGTCTGCTCACGACGCGACCGATCTACCACGGCATGCCCGGCCAGGCCCCGCCGTCAATGGGCCAAGGCCCACCACCTCCCATAGGCCAGGGCCCGCCACCGACAGCGCCACCTCCCGGGTACCATCACCACCCTGGCATGCAGCAGCACCACCCGATGCAACAACACATGCAGCCGGCGTACCCGCACCACCATCACAGCAACAACAACAATAACAAGAGCAACGGAGCGAGCAAGCCAACCGGTCCGGACGCCGAAAAGTCAAGTAGCCGCCACGTGAGCCCTCAACAGCACGACCCGAGCCCACGCCACACATCATCGCAGTCACCAGCGCACGTCAAGACGGAGCAGACGACAACAGAGCACAAGGACAACGACGACGAAGACGCCAAGCACCACGTTGACACCATGCCGCGTGTCTCATCGATCGACAGCTTCTCGTCGCTCTTTCCGCGCATCGCGTCGCTCGACTGCTTCCAGGGCCTCCAGTCCATGTCGCGCAACCCGTCGTCCATGTCACTCTCCAACCATGGTGACGCAGGGATGTTTCGGTCGCCGTCGCTCGAGTGCTTCAACGGCATCCCGCGCGTCAACTCGCTCGAGCAATTTTCGAATTTCATTGCGAGCATGCCGCCGGCCGAAGCGTCGAGCAAAAAGGAGTCGCCGGTGGACCATCCATTTGCCGAGCCAACGCCAAAGGGCAAGCCGCCCATGTCGGGCATTGCCCGCGCCGCGTCGTCGGACAAGCTGCACACGTCGATGACGTCATCAACAACAATGAGTCTCCCGCGCGTGCCATCGCTGGACAAGGCGCTCGACAAGATGCCGCGCGTCCCGTCCATGGACCGGCTCCACGGCAGCGGCATTCCGCGTGTGCCGTCGCTCGGCGGCCTTCCGCGCATCAACTCGACCGAGGCATTTCTGCAGCACATTCCGTCTCTGTCCAACTTGAGCGGCCTCATGCCGTCGTTTGGGTCCTTTGACAAGCTGAGCTCGCTCTCGAAGGAGTCCAAGCACCTGGCGATTCCACGCAACTCGTCGCTCGAGGACATTTTGTCGCTGGTCGCGGCGTCGGCCGACCACGAAAATAACCCGCGCCTGCTCAAACGCAAGGCCGAGAGCAGTACCGAGCCGCTTCTCGGGGGTATCCACAAGAGCAAGCTGCCCATGAACGCATCGGATGGTCCATCGACCAGCCTCTCGGAGAAGAAGCAGCGCCTGTAAGAAATTTGAACCCTGTCTTGTTGTTGTGTGTTGCTGCTTGCGCGCTCTGTACTGTCGCTTCAATGGAGTTGAAATGTTGGTCTAGTGGTTTGTTGGTGTATCGCAGCGGCTGCCTCGGGGCTTGGTGGTGGTAATGGTGGCAAAGCTGGGACGGTTACCTGCAGCATTCACGTTGAATTGAGAGATTGAAACATTGATACAAAGCACAGGCGCAACTTGAGACATTGCAAGATATGAGGCATGTCAAAATGTTGTGGTGGTTAAGTCGGACGTGTCCAGGAGCTGTCGCCTGTGAGCGGGTTATAAAAGTAGATGACACCGTCGTCGCCCGTGCACTCGGTCCAGCTCGACGGCGGGAGGTCCCAGACGCTTTCGCCGGTCGTCGCATTGATATAGTAGACGGTCCCGTTCGCATCGGTTGCGAGCTCCCACGACGGCGCCGGCGTCTCGTGCCACTCGGGTGTTTCCCACTGCGTCGCACCCGTGATACGGTGCTGATAATAGAAGCGGCCGCTAGTCCCATCGGGCACCTTGGTCCAGTCACTGTACTTGTCAGGGTAGAGCAGCCGGCGCCGATGCCGGCGTTCGTCGGCGCGTTGCTGCTTGCGGGCGGCGAGCTTGGCGGCGAGCGCGTCGTCCATTTCCTTTTCAGCGATCGCGCGCCACGCGAGCCGGCGCTCGTTCTCCTCGGCGCGCATCTGGCGTCGCGCATTCGCCTCCGCCGCCCGCTCGCTAGCCACGCGCTGTGTTTCCAGCGCCCTGAGGTGCGACCGATGCAGCCGCGACAAGTGATCTTCGGCTCGCATTGCACGGTCTGCGGCCTGCTGCAGTTTGGTCTCGCGGAGCTGGCGGCGCAGCTGCCGGACGCGTTCTTCCTCGGCCACCAGCGGATCTTCTAGCGTTGCCTCTCGCAACGGCCGCCACCGGACATCGGCGCGCGCCATGGACTCGCGCTCCCGGGCCTCGGCCTTTTCTTGCAAGAGACGCTGCACGCGGGACGCATTCTCCGCCGCGCGCGTGGCTTGCCACTGCCGCAGCTCCTCCCGCTGGCGCTTCAGGCGACCGCGGCGCTCGGTCTCGGACTCGGGCGGCTTGTCTTCGGCCGCCATTAGCGGCATCTCCCGAGCAACGGCGGCGTCATCGGCCTCGTACTTCGCTCGGCGGATGCGATCGGCGTTGGCTGCGGCGTCGGTGCGTAGCTGCCGCCGCTTTTCCCGAACGACAACGGATGGCTGGGCCATGGCCCACGCCCGAAAGTCCACAAACGGGCTGAGACCGTCGCGCACCACGAGGTAGCTGGTCACGACGCTCTGCGCGACGTCTTCGGCGCGCCGGGCGACGGCAAGGATGTCGTGGGCTGGCAACCGCGGACAAGCACAGCTCGGCGCGCCAGACCGCCGCTTGTGAAGTGCCTTGTTGGCATGCACTCTCTGCTTACTGGGACTGCACGGACGCAGCGGCGCCGTTGCTCGCTGGGCACAGAGACGGGACAAGAGCACGTGCGCGCGCGGCGCTGCTGGGAACGTTGGGTCGTGCAGTAGGCGTCGATGCAACATGTCGGTGGCAGCGCCCTGAGCGTGCAAGAGGGCAGCTGCCTGGTGGCGCACGACGCGGCCCAATTCTTCCTACGTACAAAGGGCGATCCCAGTCATCTTCAAATCGCCTGCACGTACCGAAGGCACGTCAGCGAGGCCGTTGGCCGCCATGGCGCTCACAAACGAAAGACTTAGAAGTGTCGCAACCACACTCTGGCTGGGCTGCTGCACTACCGCCTGTAGCCAGCGCAGCTCGTCGGGTGGCACGTTTGGGGGGTTATTGCTCGAGGGCAGCGCCGCGGCCAGCACCAGTGCCTGCAACGCGCCGTCGTCCAGAAGCCGCCGCCGTTCAAAGCTATGCGACTTGGAGGTGATATTGCGCACGAGCACGACCAACGTGCGTACGGCCAAGTGGTGCTGGAAGAGCGAGCTCTGCGCGATGAGAGAGGCTAGCGTGTCCTCGACGCCATCGGTCGTCGCGTGGTCTTCGCCCGCGCAAGCAAAAATCGACGGCGCCGGGGGCTGCGGTCGGCGCAAGAGACACTCGTCGACTTCGTCGCGCGGAATCGGCGACGATGCCAAGACGTAAGCCAATGACATAGGTCCCAGCGGTAGCAAAGCGTCGACATGGCCACGCGCGTGCAGGTCGAGGACGAGAGCGTGCATCGAATAGCGCAGCGCGTCGACAGCCACCTCGAGGTGTAGCGGATGACACGGTGCACTGGCGACCTCAACGTGCTCGATCGCGCCCGCTAGTGAGAGGTGCACGCGCACAATGGCGTCGACAAGGCAGGGCACGAGGCCTTCGAGGACCAGCGTCGGCGCGAGTGTCGCGTCGCACGCAACGTAATAGAGTAGCAGTAGAGTCGTGGCCTTGAGCTCATTCGGAGCCAATTCCGCTTGCTTGAGCTGGGCGACAAGGAAGATGGCCCACGTGCGCCACTGCGACGGCCCTTGGTCGATCGCAGCTACGTTGTCGGCGACGGACGGGTACGGCCGCCGGGCCATAGGATCGCGCAGCGGGGCGCAGAGCACGTGCAGCAGCCGGACAAGCTCGAGGCGGTCGGTGCTGTCGCCAGTTGGCAGCGGCGCCAGCCGCGTCGGACTTCGCCGCTTGTCCTGCTGTGTCATGGTGGTGTAACTGCCATTGCCTCGGATTGGCCCCAAGCGCACGCTATATCCGTATTCACTCTATTTCCCAGACCAAGATATCATCACGATGAACGTGGCCGAGATCCACGCAGTGATGCTGGCAGCGAACGCGCCTCCGGCCAAGGACACGACGCTCAAAGGTACGAGCGCAGGCCCCCACGCAGCTCGTCTGACGCGGTCTGTGGCGCAGAGATCTTATGCGACTACGAGACGAAGCGCTACGACGAGCTGCAGTTTGGACTCATCCAAGGCCAGACGCAAATGAACGGCCGGACGCTGCAGTTTGCGCCATCGTACGAAGATGGATACACGCGCAGCACGCAAGAAGCCTCCCGTGGACGCATTCGCGCCGTCTTCCTCGTCGGTCTCTTGGTCTACGCCGGGCTCATGGGCCACAGCTGGTATCTGACACCGCCATCGACGCTGGTCCTCGCGCTCGATGTGGGCGTTGCGCTCCTAGCCTTCGCCATCGGACTCGGTCTTACGTTTGCGCCATGCATCAACCTCGAGGGCGTCACATGCGGCGTCTTTTTCGTCGTTGCATCGGTGCTCATCGCCAAGAAGCCACTGCAACGGAGCCACGGCCCTGTCTTGCCTCTCATGCTGCTGCTCATCCCGATCTTTGGCCTCACACGCATGCGCTTCCTCACGAGCTGCGTCCTCGGCGTCGGTATCTTGTTGCTCTACATGGTCGTCCAGCTCTTTGCCAGCGTCTACGTCGATGGCGCCGACGCTGCCCGCGACGTCATGTACCAAGTCTTCAACTATGCGATCCGCGTCTTTGGCGGTATGGTGTCGCACTACCGCCAGGTATCTATCTATCCATCCATCTATCTATCCATCTATCTGTGGACGCTCCTGCATCGTGTGTCCCGTAGGAAGTGCTACGGCGGCGCAACTACGCACTCGAGCTGCCTTTTCAGGGGCTTCTCGACGGCGACGAGGCCATGCTTATCGTGTCCAGCGTCTCGACGTCGTCGCTCTGGCATCCGTGGAGCCTGAGCTTTGCGCACGCCGAGCTCGAAGCTGCGTTCTACCGGTTCTGGTACCTCCTCGACCCGTTCCCGTTCGAAAACGTGCACGACCCTGCGCTCCACCGCCGGGTGTTCGGCACCGTGCGCTACGCTCTTCTCAGCGTCCTCCTCGCGCAAGTGCTCTTAGCGATCCAAGACGTCAAGCTCCTACCGTCATCCATCCAAGATCTGGCATGGTGTACGCGGTTTGGCGTCGTCGTGCCCGCCTATCTCTTGATGGCCAGCGTGCTCTACGGCCTCAGCCACTCATTTGCTGCCCGCGCGTTGCCGTCACAGACTGCGCTCTCCGAAGAAGCGTCTCGCCTCACGTACGCCGCGTACCTCAAGCAGTCGCTGCTCGACCACATCCTGCTCCATGCCCACGGCGGGTACGTCCGGTACGCGCAGTGGCTTGCAGGGCTTGTCGTGCTGCTGCACATTGCTGCCATGGCGACACTCGTGCTCCTTGTCTACTCGAACCCAGCGTCGCAGCGCTGGACCGACTTGTACTTCATGGGGCTCCTCAACGCTCTCCTGTTCGTGCACCGGTCGGGCTTTCGCGTTAGGTTTGTCTATGCGTCGACGACGACAGCAATCGCGGGGGCGGTCTTCATTGGCGTCTCGGCGCTCTACTTGGAGCGAAACATATGGGTCCCATACGCGTGCTACTGCGGCGCGATCCTCCTGCTCGGCAGCGTCACCTCGTACGAAGAAGAGTCGCTCCGCCGGTCGTTCTTTGTGCTGCGCTCGCTGCGCACGAGCCAGTTTCGGCAATGGCGCGCGTCTGTCGTCAAGGTCCAGAGCTGGATGCGCCGCCGGTTGCGAAAGAAGCTGCAGAACCTCCGGCGACGCCACGCACCAACAAGCGCTCCGAATCCGACGGCCGATGGCACGTCGGCGCGACTCGCAACCGCGACGCGCGTCGGCGTCTACGGCCAAGTCGTTCAAGTGCTGGCCGAAGTGCTCTAGTCAAGAACGGGCGGCGCCCACAAACTTGCGGAAAGACGTACTAGTATATTGTACTATCAAGTTATCAAGTGAAGAGCACGATGCGGCTATTCCTGCTGGATGCACATGTGATTGCTGTTCCACGGCGGGCGCTTGGTCGTGTCGGGAATCTCGTCGCGCAGGAGCCGGACGTTCTGCGTCAAGTCCGGGGAGTTGCCGTCGCCGAGGTGGCAGATGCCAAACGCGTGGCAGTTGAGGAGGCGCGAGACGAGCACGGCGTTCTCCGAGCCGTTGAGCCCCGCGTCCTTGAGAAACATACTCGGCGGTGCCACGTGATACGCCGCGTCTTTCGACCAGCTACGAATACGACGAATAAGAACATATTTACTACATGTGCACCGTCGTACGTGGTGAGGCTCTTGCGGTACTTGGACACGATCGGCGTCGCCAAGCTCGTACTAAGCTTCTCCTTCATACAGAGCACGCGGCGGAGGCGCTCTTGAAGAATGCGTCTACGCCATGTTGGTCGTTTCGTGTGGACCCTAATCCTCGTCCTACTGCTGCATGTCGTGAAACGACATGGCGCCGACACCGTTCCGGGGCACATGCTTGAACATGGCCTCGATGTCTGCGCGAGTGTACCGAGGAATCATCTTGAGGTGCTTGTCGGCTTGGCGCAAGACCTCTTCTTCCTAATGCCACTTGAGAACGGAAGCAAAACGCATGGCGTACTTCGTCCCGCGAGAGACCGACCATGCCGTACACGGACAGAATGTCTTCGCGCTCGATCGACTGCGACATGGTGTTGAGCTCGAGGTCCGTCACGACTAGGCGAAAATATCCGTTTCATATCAATCTTTCAAGCGCACCGTGCAGGCCTTTTTCGCCGCTGCGCAGGCGGGACTTGGCGTCGAGCGGACCGTACAGCGAAAACACAAAGAGACGCCCCGTCGAATTCGAGTGTTGTACTTGCGGCGGAAAGAGAAAGTCGAGCAGTGCATCGAGGCTCACCTATCCGGATACTTCGCATCGAATCCAACCTATCCAAGGATATCGCGTTGTACGGTGGCGCCAGACACTGTCCACTCCTCGGTGATGGCGATCGAACTGTCCCGGCGCGCGACGGCGGTCGCTACAGAAGACGCAGACCCTGGTCGTGTCCTTCGGATAGATACAAGATAGATCTTTTGCTCGTGTGTACCCATGAGAAAGTCGCGCTCGTCGTCGACGTTGAAGGCATACTTGCTGCAGCGAACGCCGATGCATCGCTGGTCCAGACCAAACTGCGCGCGCAGCGTCGTCGCATGGGACGGCCACTGCGTCACGTCCGAGGGTCCGACGAGGTCTTGGAGGTCCTTGAGGGCATTGGGCTTATGCAGAACGAGTACGACAAGCGGGCCGCTGCCATTCGATGTCGATACGAGCCGGTGGCCGGGGTTCGAAGCGCGTACCTTGAAAGCGCCGCAATGGCGTCTTTGGCGTCTTCAGCATCGGTGGCGCCGTCGCTGGCGGCACGCGGTGTCGTCTTGCCGCCCTGCACATTCAACCGCGGGGAGGTTGCTTCTCTCGGGCTTCGGGGCGACGCGGCTTTGGAGCGCGCCGAGCCCAAGTCGCTGACGCGCGGCGTCATGGAGCTGCGGGCCGTGCCCCGGTGCGTCGGCTACATCACCCGTCATCCTTGCCAAAAGTCACATGACGCTTGTACCTTGCGCTGGGCAGGGTCGTCGCGGCAGTTGAGCCGCTCGTAGTAGAGCGCCGCCTTGTCCAAAGTGAGCTGGAGCACGGTTTGTTCGAGGATCTTGAAGCCTGCCTCTTGCAGCCGCTTGCGGATCGCCTCGTCCTTGGCAATGGCCTCGCGCTGGATCACAAACACGCTCTTGTCGGCCATACACGACGAATATGGAAATGCGTTTCAAGGCGATCTCGACAGCACGCAAGAGCAATATATATTTAGATCACGACGCCATGGACCAACTCTGGCTCAACGTCGCCATGGCCCCTGTCCGGGGTCGATGATCGCCGGTCGGGCTCTTGTCGATGAATGTCCAGCCCAGGTCGTCGTCGGTCGCAGGTTTCTATCGATTGCACAATAAGCTATCATTTCTGCATTGGCTAAGAACACAGTAGCACCTTGTTGGGCGAGATGGCGAAGGCGTGCGGTGCTCGCTTCTTGGCCGGCGACACGCGCTTCGTGGGCTCGCGCCACATGAGGCGTGGCACCAAGATGGTCTCGAGGTCCTCGTCACTGTCGACGCCGTCGCTCTCGTCGTCCGAGAAGTGCATGTGCTGCGTCGCCAGGGCGCGGAGCAGGTCCACGTCCAAGTCGCTCTTCCGGACGTCCATCGCATGCTGCTGCGGCAGCGACTTGGACAGGGCCTTCATCGATGTTGCGCAAATGACCTTCTGCGATGGTGGCGTTCTGGCTCAAAACCGGTCCAATCACATGCGTTTCTGTCGCGACATCATTGACTTTTCAGCCAATCCGGTGGCGCGATCTTCCGGCCATTAAAATACACCCAAATAGCATACTATTTGTATGCAACATTGAAGGCAACCAATAAAAAATATCGGCGCCCAAGTTGAAGTTTCCATTCGAAATGTAGAAGGCCGTGCGGCCAATGAGGTGCGACGGCGGACGCTTCTTCGTCCCTCATGGCTGCGAGCGGCAGGCAAACCCGACACGGTGCATGCATAGACCTGCCGTGCCTCCTTCGTAAGGGTTAAGATCGTAGAGGGTGCCCGGGCAAAGCTACTTGGGTTCCTCTTGGTGCAAATGGCGGTGTAAGGTAATACATACGGGTTTGCATGCGCATTCTCCGAGCTGGGAATCCCATTTGACGCGCGATCTGATAACACTTTCATGGCCCAAGAACTTATTGGTTTGTATACACAGGTTTCTTTGTTTCGGTTATTACATATCTACATACCTATTTATGCGAGGTTGAGTTCGGCCATGATCGCGTCGACGGTCTTGCCGCCTTCCATGGCCTTCTCGAGCTCGATGAGCTTGCCGACGCCGTCAATCATAGTCTGGACGAGCTCAACCTCGGACTTGCCGATGCGCGCCTTGTTGGAGACGTCCCACATGCCACCAACGGCCGCGCTGTGCTCGCCGGCCGACCCACGCGGCTGGAGACCCAGCGACGAGCAGATCGTTTCGAGCTTGTGGACGTCTTCGCCGAGCTTGAGGAGCTTGACAAACATACTCGCGCGGAGACCCGTGCCGAGGTTGGACGGGCACGTGCCGAGGAACCCGAGGTGTTCGTTGTGCATGAACTCGTACCCGTTCTTCTTGATCGACTCTTCGACAGCCTTGACGCCCTTGACCCAGCGCGCAAAGACCGCCACAATATCGCCGCCGTCTTGCATCGAGATGACGCGCATGTGGTCTTCTTCGTTGACCCACACCAAGAAGCTCTTTTCCGTGTTGTGGAAGATACCGCGACCACTGGGCCAGTCGCGGGCAGCGCCGGCGCCCGTGAGGAGCGTGCCACCACCCGGCTTTTGAAAGAGGAAATGATCCTTCTGGAGCTGGTCTTCCTCCTCTTTCGTCATGTTGCCAAGGGGAAAGTACTTGCCCGTGAGCTCGGCCTCCATGGCCGTGAGCGCCGTCGAGATGAGGTGCTCGACCTGGAGCCGCTCCGAGCGCGTCGTACCGGGCGGGAGGCTGAGGTTCTTGATGTTGCGCCCAGCGCGAACGCGGGTCGAGCCAATGTAGTTGTTGTCGAGCTTGTCGGCGTTCACGAGCTTCGAGACGTCCATGTCGGTGATGTGCTTGGCGTCGGCCTTGAAGCCGTGCCAGCCTTCAATGACCGGGTCCAAAAGGTCCTTGAAGAGCGTGTAGCACTCTTCGTCGCCGGCGACGACACCGACGCCCAAATGCGCATTGTCGAGGCCCGTCTGGATCGCGTCGTCGAGGCTGTATCCCTTCTTTGTGCGAAGGTCCTTGAGCTTGTCGTACAGCTCCTTGGTCAAATGCTTGGCCATGAGCGACTTGTGCTTGGGCGTAAAGTCCGGGTAGTTGACCTCGCTCGACGGCTTGACGTCGATGCTGGCCTTCTCGGCCGACGTCGTCGTCGGCGCCTCAATGACCGGGTTGGGCACGCGCTCGGTCGGCAAGAGACCGTCGATGGACTCGCCCGCCTCGAGCTTCTTCTCGAGATCGATGAGGAGACGAATGCCGTTGATCATCGTCTGGACGAGCTCGGCTTCCGAGTACCCAATGCGCTGCTTGTTCGAGACGTCATAGACGCCGCCGACGGACGCCGAGTGCTCGCCGTTCATGCCGCGCGGCTGGAGGTTCAAAAGCCCGCAGAGCTTCTCAAAGCGCTCGAGGTCTTCGCTCAGCTTGGGCAGCTTGATCATGACACTGGCGCGAAGACCCGTGCCGAGGTTCGAGGGGCACGTGCCAATGAAACCAAGGTGGTCGTCGTACATGAATTCACGTCCCTTTGCCTTGATGCTGTCTTCGACCGACTTGACCGCGCGGCAGAAGCGCTCAAAGACCGACCCAATGTCACCGCCGTTCTGCATCGAGATGACGCGCATGTGGTCTTCTTCGTTGCACCAGACAAGGAACGTCTTCTCGTCGTTGTGGAAGATGCCACGTGCGCTGGGCCAATCGCGCGCGGCGCCGGCGGCCGCCAGAAGTGTCCCGCCGCCCGGCTTTTGAAAGAGAAAGTGGTCGTCGATGAGCTTTTGCTCGTCCGCGGGCGTCATGTCGGCGAGCTTGTAGAACTTGCCCTTGAGGTCACCGTCCATGGCCGTAAGCGCCGAGTCGAGGAGGTTCATGACGTCCTTGCGATGCGCGCGCGACGTGGCCGGCGGTAGCGGCATGCCGCGGATGTTGCGGCCCGCTCGGATCCGCGTCGAGATGATGTACTCGTCGGGCATCTTGGCGTCCGTCAAGTGCGTTGGGTCCAAGTCCCGCTTGTGCACCGCGTCGCTCTTGTAGCCGTGCCAGCCTTCAATGACCGGGTCGAAGATTTCCTTGAAGATGACATACGACTCTTCGTCGCCGGCCGTGATGCCGACGCCGAGGTGCGGGTTGTCGACGCCGGTCTGGATCGCGCGCTCGAGCGTGTAGCCCGTCGACGTCTTGAGGTCCTTGAGCTTGGTGTACAGCTCGCGCGAGAGGTGCTTGGCCATGAGCGACTTGTGCTTGGGCGTGAACTGCGGGTAGCCCGAGAGCATCCCGTCCATGGACTGCGCGGCCTCGATCTTCTGCGCCATCTTGCTCGGCGATGAGCTGCTGCCAGGGCGCGGGGCGTCGGACGACATGAAGGCTTCGGGTCTCTGCTCCGGGGCGAGTTGGCTTCTGCCGACCGCTTGCAGCCGCCCTTTCGGACGAAACGGCAATCTTAATTTTATTTTGACCAATGGCGTGGCGGAATGGCCATTTTATTGCAACCGACGCGATCTTTTCCCCACCAACTTGATATTTGTATGTAATTCTTTGATTTGCAATCCTCGAAAATAGAAATCTAATTTTAAACAAAAAAGAAACCCCTTATGAAACCTCGGCGAACCAGCCCTCGGCGAGCCCGCGCAAGTCCCTCGCTATAGACAAAGGGCTCTCCCTCCAATGGACGACCTCCCGTAGCTCAGTGCACCCTTGTGATGACGCGACCGTGTCCTCTTTTTATATAAAATAAATAAATTCCACATGAAAATAACGAGATTCGCCTCGAACCCCCTACCAGTCGCGCTCAGATTCGCCGCTTCCTTAAGGACGGTGGATTGAGACATCTTGGCACACTATCGATAGGGTAGCATGGCAGCTTCGCACTCTATTCGCTTGGCGGCCGCAGCGTCATCATGGCGGTCGACGTCGTCGCACGGAAACGGCAATGTCAACAGTTGCGTGCTTTTAGATTCGGCACTCGATGGGTCCTATAATGTTTTCGTGCGTCTACATAGATAGACCAAGTAAACATAAAATATCACATTCTATTGCTCCTCGGTGGCTCCCCAGCGATGGACCTCGTCACGACGTGGACCGAGTCGGGCCAAAGGCTCGCGTAAGCCGCCGACAACCTCGCTTCCTTCCTCATCTTCATGGTAGACCTGGCGCCCTCGCCAAGGCCGCAGCCAAGGAAGACGACCTCGCGCCGATGCTCCAGGCGCTGCTCTGGGCGTGCGCGACGGACGCCGTGTCCTGCGCCGACTTTGTCGCTGCGCTCGACGAGTCCAAGCTCTTCACGGCCGACTCGGCGCATGCAACGACACTTGCAGATGCGCTCTGGGTCGTCGGCTCGCAGGTCGAACAGCTACCGTGCGACGCCGGCGAGAGCCACTCGAAGGCGTGGAAGACGCTCTGCAAGGTGGTCAAAGACATATCCGACAAGAAGTTTGTGCCGGCCATGACGCTGCAAACGATCCTCGAGCTCGACGTGCTGCATGCAGTCGGCCTCGCAAACGAGCCGGCGGCCGTCGGCAAGAAGATCGTCCGCATCAACACGCGCAGCTTGTACACGCAGAGCAAGTTCAACCTCCTCCGCGAAGAGAGCGAAGGCTTTGCGAAGGTGCTCTCGCTCTTGCACTCGGGCGTGACGCGCGATACGGTCGAAGCTGTCCAGCGCGACTTGCTTGCGCTCATCGGTACACTGCGCCTACCACCCTTCGTCCCCCTCATGTATCGCTGCAGGCTTCTTCGACTTGGACCCGAACCGCGTACTGGACTTGCTCTTGGACGTGTACGAGACGCAGTACATGAACGACTGCTTCGCCGACCTCGTTGCGCCCTTCAAGCGCGAGTACGTCGTGCACCTCCTTGGCTTCAAGCTCCAGTTTTACCAACGCCCCGAGACGATCGCGGCCAAGCTCGTGGCGCCGCGGTCGCTCTACCGCATCGCCGCCGTGCTACTGCACAAGGGCCTCTACACGCTACTTGAGCTCTACCCGCACGTGAGCCCGACCAAGGCCGGCGTCTTGGCGAACGAATTGCAGCGCGTCGAGGGGCTCAAGACGGCTGCACGCGGCTACGGCAAGGTCAACCTGAACGCCAAGAAGGACGACGACGCGCCTGCCGAGACGAATCTCTCGGAGGCCGACGCCAACCAAATGTACGGCATCCTTGTCGGGCTTCTTGAGATCGGCGCGTATGAGCTCGCGCTCGAGCGCATCCAGGCCTTTGTCGCGCACGACTGCAACCCGCTGGCGTATGCGCCGCTCGCGCGCCAGCTGTGCGTCACGATCAGCGACTTGCTCGCTTCGCTCTACGCGCCCTTGTCGCTGGCATCCATGCGCCTTGTCGCCACGACCGCCGGTACGAGCCGCATTTGGTGTCTCTTTTCTCAACCACCGACCTCTCGTAGCTCCGTCGTCGTCACCGCCGACGCGCCACGTTGTCGCGCCAATCACAACGCTGCGCGAGATGGTCGACATTGTGTTCCCGATGCTCCACTTGCTTGGCCCGTTCTTACACCACGACCAGAGTCTCTGGACCAAGCTCCAGCGCATCCTGCTGCACGCGCTGCCCTCGAATGCGTGGCTCGTCGAGCCGCTCGAGGCGCTGTTCACGCACACGCTCTTCCCGACGCTGTCGCTCCACGGGTGCTGCCCGAACCTCGTGTACCAGATGTGGGACCTCCTCAAGACGTTTTCGTGCGAGAAGCGGTATGCGCTGTACCAGACCTGGCAAGACAAGTACGCCAACGTCCCAGAGATGATGCTCGCCCACGCGCGCACGGTCGACACGACGCGCAAGGTCATGCGCCGCCTCACGGCCGACAAGACCAAGCCGACCGGCCGCGTCCTCACGCACGTGGCGCACGCCAACCCGCTCGTGGCCTTCCGCACGATTCTCCAGCAGCTCCAAGCGTACGAGAACCTCATCCAGCCGGTCGTCGAGTCGCTCAAGTACATTTCGCCGCTGGGCATGGACGTGCTCTCGTTTGTGCTAATCACGGAGCTCGGTCGACCGCGCCCGTCGCTCAAGCTCGACGGCACCAACGTGTCGCTTTGGCTTTCATCGCTCGCGAGCTTCTCGGGCAGCTTTTACCGCAAGTACCCGATGGTCGAGCTCAGCGCGCTTCTCTCGTACCTCTTCCAGCGCCTCAGCAAGTGGGAGAGCGTCGAGCTCATCGTGCTCAGTGAGCTCTTGACCAAGATGGGTAGCTCTACCTCGACATGGAATACAGGCACTCATGTGGCACCTAGGGTCGTGCTTGGCGCTAGAAGATCTGTCGCAGACGCAGCTCGAGGCGCTTGCCGGCGGCCCGACACTCGGGTACGAGGCGCCAGATCCCAAAGTCATGAACAAGCGCGCGATTCCTCGGCTTCGCGACACGCTTGTCAAGCTAAACCTCGCGTGGCCGCTCTGCATCGTCATGGGCCAGATGCGCAGCCGCATCGAGCACGACGAGACGACGAAGGAAGAGCACCTCAAGCTCCTCGGCGGCACGTACGACATGTGCATGCGCACGTTGAGCCAGCTGCTGGCGTTTCTGCACGCGGCGGCGGACCCGAGCTCGTATGTCGGCGCGCTGCCGCCGCTGCGGGACCTCGTGCACAAGTACCACCTACCGGACGACGTTGCAATGTTGTTGCTGCGCCCGGCGATGCGGTCCGACGACCCGCTCCTCCGTTCCGGTACATTCTTGATGGCATATATTGAAAGATTGATACATTTACTATATGTAGTGACGCGCAGTGTCCATAGCAGCGCGTCGACGGCATCGGCGAGTGACGCGCCCGGGCCAGCGTTCATGTACAGCGAGACGTTTCTGGGCGAACTCGAGGCCACTTTTGTGACATCAGCGCACGACCCGTTCGAAGGGCTCACGAAAGAGCTCTTTGCGACCTTTTGGGGTCTCACGCTCTACGATATTTACGTGCCCCACGGCCAGTACGAGGCGGAAATCACCAAGATCCGGCACGAGCTCTCGCTGCTAGCGAATATGACGGTACGCCATTTGTCGTTCGAGGCGGATTCCTCGATTTTCCATACTAACCATACGAATTAGACGGGATCGTCCTCGGAGAAGCGCAAGCAAAAGGAGAAGCTCATGGCGACCATCGACAAGCTCGTGACGGAACAGAAGGACCAAGTCGCGCACCGGAAGCGCATCTTTGAGCGGCTTGAAGCCCAGAAACACACGTTTTTCACGTTGGCGGTCGACACGACCGTCTCGGAGCTGCTGCAAAAGTGCATTGTCCCGCGCGCGCTGCTGTCGCCCGAGGACGCCATGTACTGCGCCAAGTTTATGCAGCATCTGCACGAGATCGAGACGCCGAACCTGAGCACGCTGCAGTACTACCACAAGGTGACGCTCAACCTCTCGGGCCTCGTCCTGTGTACGACCGAGCGCGAAGCGTCCAACTTTGGGATCTTTTTGAAAGAGTCGCATGCGCTCCTTGCGCGCTGGTTCCACGCCCCCGACGACTTTGTTGCCGAGGGCGCCAGCAAGGTTGGCTTTAGCGTCTCGCTCAACGACCCGAGCGCCCGCATGGAGCACTACCAATACCGTCCAACGTACGCCAAGTGGCAAAAACGCATGGAGCGCGTGTACGCAAGTGCGCTCGGCAGCGCCGAGTACATGCCGACGCGCAACACGCTCGTGCTGCTCACCAAGATGATCGACGTCTTTCCCGTCTCGAGCGCCAACGGGTCGCGCCTCTTGAAGCTGGTGGAAACACTCACGACCGACGATCGCGAAGATCTTAAAATCATGGCCAAGCGCTACTCGGCGCTGCTCAAGCGCCGCCTCGGGACGTTTGCGGACCAAAAGGCGCCCCGGTCCAGCCCGAGTCCGGCGCGGGACGCCAAGGATGCCAAGGATACCAAGGAGCCACGCCGCCGCGAGTCGACGACAAATGAGAAGCGGCCGCGATCGCTCTCGCGTGAGAAGGACGATGGCCGCAAGCGGGGCCGTGGTAGTGATCCGGTGCGCCGCCGCGACGACACCGAGTCGCGCCGGGAACCTCGTCGCGAGACGCCGCCGCCGGCGCGCCGTGAGAGTGGGAGTCGCAAGGACGACAGCAGCAGTGGTCGTGCTTCCAAGGACAGTCGCAAGGAGGAGCCGGCGGGACGTGGAAAAGAGTCGACGGACGCCAAAGACGACCGCAGCCGCAAGGACGACCGCAAGACCGACCGCAAGGACGATGGTCGACGCCAGGAGCGCAAGCCCGACGACCGCAAGCCAGATGACCGCAAGTCTGACGACCGCAAGTCTGACGACCGCAAGACCGATGACCGCAAGTCTGACGACCGCAAGATGGCGTCCGAGCGCAAGGCTGACGACCGCAAGACTGACGACCGTAAGACTGACGACCGTAAGACTGACGACCGTAAGACTGAGGGCGATCGCAAGACGTCCGAGCGCAAGACTGAGGGCGACCGCAAGGCGGCCGAGACAAAGCGGGATGCGGACCGCAAGGTTGAGAGCAACCGCAAGGCCGAGGCGGATCGCAAGACAGACAGTGACCGCAAGGCAGAAGCTGACAAGAAGGTCAACAGCGACCGCAAGGCCGACAACGATCGCAAGGCGGCGGCGAGTGACCGGAAGACGGAAAACGACCGCAAGGCCGAGACGGATCGGAAGGATGAAACGGACCGCAAGGCTGAGAGCAAGGTGGAGAGCGACCGGAAGGCTGAAGCTGACAAGAAGATGACGAGCGACCGCAAGACTACCAGCGACCGCAAGTCTGAGAACGACCGCAAGTCTGAGAACGACCGCAAGGCGGAAGCCGACCGCAAGACGGAAGCCGACAAGAAGACCAACAGTGACCGAAAGGCTGAGAACGATCGCAAGGCGGCAGCGAGTGACCGCAAGGCCGACAGTGACCGCAAGCCTCTGCCCGACCGCAAGCCAGAGGCGGACAAGAAGACGGAGAGCTCGACGGAGAGCAAGTCGGAGAGTCTGCGCAAGGAGGCGACCAAGCCCGAGGGCAGTCGCAACCAAGAGTCGAAGGACGTGGCCAAGGACGGCGAGTCGGAGGAGGCTGCGTTGCGCCGCCAGCTCCAGGAGAAGCGGGGCGACGTGCGCAAGATGGTGACGCTGAATCGGAAGCGCGAGCGCGACGAGCCTACGGTCGAGGACCCGCCCAAGCGCCGCATGACGTCGTCGCTGGACGAGGCTGAAGAGAAGCGCATCGTCGAGGCCAACAACAAGCGGCTCGCAGAAGAGCGCAAGCAGCGCATGGCCGAGCGCAAGCGCAGCGAGCCGCGCAACACGCCGCCGCCGGCCCCGCGCCGCGACGAGAAGCGGTACAGTTTTCCGCTTTGGCCACTTGAACTCATGCCGCGTCTATCCTAGTGACCGCTCCGTGAATCGCAACCACGGTCATGGCCGACGGTACGCTAAACGAGCTGCTTTCGATCGCCGTAACTCATCATTGGACTAGACGCAACCGCTAAGCCCTCGCGTACTAGCTCGATGCTCTATACACAAATATCCCTTTGTTCAGTCTACATTTTGCTTA